CGGCATCAGGGCCTCCCCTTCTGTCATCTTGACCAACGCCAAAGCCCCCCCTTCTGTCATCTTCACTGACACCAGGACCTTCTCTTTGGCCAACTAGACCGCCACCAGGGCCCCTTCTCTGGGTATCTTGATCGGCACCACGACCGACCCTTTCGACACCGGGACCTTCTTTTTGCGCATCATCAGTGCCCTTAATGAGGTCTTTCTTAACCAAATCTGGATCAATGCCACGTTTGACAAGAGCATCTTGTAAGTGTTTATTCTCTTCCTGGCATTTATTGTTCTTCGCTTGCTCTTCGAGCAATTGCCTGCGTAGGTCGTCGATCAGTTTCTCGTCATCGCGCGTGGTAATCGCATGCACTGCATTCGACAACTCCGCATTCTTCAGATGTATATCACTTATCTCCCTTACTAGTTTCATTGATTCCTTCAAGTCCTTATCCATACCAGCTGTATCTTTTGCCGTCTCACTCACATCCGAATCCAATTTATCGACACGATCAGAGAACTCGTGAAGTTTATTCATCGCACGCATATTAAGATCGTCCTTGCCCTTCTTCAAGTTTGCAATATCGTCTTGAGCTTTCTTATATTTCTCCTCCATTTCCTCCAACTTTTTAAGAGCGTCTGCGCATAAGTCTTCGGCCGCTTTCTTTACGTTACTTTGCAATATCTCGTTTTGTTTGGTTAATTGCTTGACGATATCTTGTAGACGTCGCATTTCGGCACAACATTCGTCGGGACTCAGGCCGTCGGTGATGGCGTGTCCATCGAAAATGCCGCCGCCACCGATGTTGTCGCCATCGCCGCCACGTTTCCTCAGCTCCTTCTTGATTTCGCTCAAGGTGGCGCGCGCAAAGAATGTCAAGTCCTCCATATAATCGGCACAAGTTTGAGTTTGTGTATCGTGAAGATTTTGAATGGCGTTGCCCTGCAACTCGTCGATAACATTCTACGTTTTGGTTGATTCATTGGATTATTAGTCGGTTCATTGGACGAAGTGAAGTGCGAAATGAATGATGCCAAGGAAAAAAGTAAATGAATACTTTGTAATCATAATACATATATGTATGTAGTGAAATTATGAGTGCAACTGAATTGCTTAAGGCTTTCTACCGAGTAATGTTGTTGCTTGTTTTTTTTTTTCTTTTGTAGCAAATTCATATTTATGTTTTTCAGTACAGCAACAATCTTGTTGCATTTCTTCCTTACTTATTTTTGATCTGTCTTTTCCTGATATTCTAATTCATTTACTTTATTACGCAAGTATGCTTTTATTTTTGCATTTAGTGGTCAATATTTCCGTTTCTGTAGTCGAGTCTGCTGGCCATGAACTTCGATCGAATTGCCCACACGAAGCCCAAACCTTACGAAAACGAACTCTTTTCCTGTTGCTCTTCAAGCCCATGTCTACATACTGCCGCTGTAAATACGATCAAGGCGAGCGTGATTGAAGCTATGAATATCTGGTTCTTTGAATGGATGGTAGGGGGAGTAGAAAAGATGTTGGTCTAATGAGTAAGAAGCTCCGACAGGCAAGTTGCGTGTCCGATCCAGAGCCAGCCATGAAAGATGCATACACCACACCAATTTTAATTAGTTTTAATTTTACAAAATGAAAACGAAATGAGGCGAAAAGCTCTTTTCACTTGTACATAATTTTGTTCGCGAGTTAGTAAAACACTGGCACCCCACTCGAGAGATCCGACGGCAAGCTTCTGGGCAGTGTTTTTTTTTTTATTAATTTTCTTTTAATGTGTATATTTTATTGTTTTAAAAAGAAATGTAAGTACATACTGAGTACATACCATGATTCAATAATAAAAGGTGTGCTCAGAAAACCGTTCTCTCGCTACCTCTTGACAAAATCGGATCCCTTAGCAACCCTGCAAACCAAAGTTCACGAAATCTTAAGGAAATCGTTAGGAGTATCTCATTTCTGTAACGATTTTTTTACGAATCTTCAAAGAAAATTATATGACGGGGTTGACACGAACTCGTATAGAAATTTCTGTATGAAAAATAAAGAAAATTCGGAAAAAATTCTACAAGAAATTCTTCACATAGCACCATTATTTTCATTACTTTACCGATTTTCTTCAGATTTCATATTATTTAATTTTAGAAAATTCGGCAAAAAATCAAATTTAAAGCAGAAATCATTCATTCGTTTTGTATATAAATAATTTATAAGCCATTTTGAATGAATTCATGCAGGCTTTTGATACATATATATGTATGTCTATGTATATGTCGTCTTACGTCTTCGTCACTATATATTTTAGAATTAAAAAAAAAGTGCAAAAAAAAAAAATACGCATATGAAAGAGCACCAACCCAACTCGCTTTAAATTTGAGTATGTTCGTTATAAAATATGTAGTTGTGAAGTGCAGATGTTTTTTCGTAATTAAGAAAAAAAAAATAAAATTTTTATGTTCCGTCTGATGGACGGACCCTCTTGGCAGCAACCAATTGTACCAAGCGTCTTTGAACACTCAGCTACAACCATATATATATGTATGTATGTATGTGAATGTGTTTTCAAATGTTGAGCTTGAATCAACATCACAGCGCGCGATTTGTTCTTTCCCTGCAAAAAATGGGACTAATCCGGGATGACTCCGGGGGCAATCGCAAAGGAGCATGCGACTAATACCACTTTTGCTTTCTTTATATGGAATGAACTGATCGCTTTTGTTCGAGCATGTCCTATGAAGAGACTAATTGTTCACCTTTATACCCGAACGGGTATGAAAAGCGACTAGTCACTTTTAAAAAATAAAAATAAAAAATTTGCACCAGCTGAGATTCGAGCCGGGGTGCTCAGTTTTGTTAGGCGAATACTCTCTCTGTGTGCCAACGCCGCACATGAAATTTCATTGACTAAGTGCGTACATATCATTAAATCGTTAATAGTACCCGTTAGAGATGAGTTGGGGACTAATTGATCTCCAATTATACCTATAAGGGATGAGTCGAGACTAATTGACCTCCAATAGTACCCGTATGAGACTAGTTGGGACTAATTAATGCCCAATTGTACCCTATTGAGAGTAATCTCGGAATACTCGCTTTAGAGATTAGTCGCACAATTTTTTGCACGTATAATGGAAAAATCAATTTTTTTTGAATTACTTTTCTCTTGATTTAAATACGAACACTTTTAAACGGTAATCAAATAAAAAAATTTCATTCTCTCGAGCACCCCGTGCCCCTACCTGGCTACGCCCATGGTTGGGAGCATACAAGTTGTATGTGCATGAGAAATTTTTGACAATCAATTGATGGCGTGCGTTAATATTAATTTATCCTGTAAGGAAAATACCAGAAACTCCTTTTGGTTTCTAAGCAAAAAATAAAACCCAGTAAATATGTAATCATTAAAAAGTAATTTTTTTTATACACTGCGTCTTACAATTATAAGACCGCCAAATATTAACGAATTTTGACTATTCACTTTTATATTATTTTATTTAGTAATGGGCGAGTACAAGATGTTTAAGCGATCGAGAGAATCGCCATCGTTGCAAAAATGTAATCGAGTCAATAATCGACTCGCTGCCCGACTATACAACCGAGATTTTTTTTCGAGTCGACTAACTTAACATCGAAGACGTCGAGAGTCAACTCAATCGATAGCTTTCGTAGGCTTGTGCAGTTTTATATTAAATACATATTTTTAAAGTTGGGAATATTGAAAATGCAGATATTCGAACGTTATTTTAAGTACGTATATTTATATTTACATATCGCAGACAAATGTAAGTTTTAAAAATATTTTTCGGAAATTAAAATTTAAAATTAAACTGATTGAGATAATTGCTGGGTATATAGGCAAAAGAAAACTTCCTAAAAATAGCATATTTGTGTGGAATTACTATTCGTAACATTAAAACACGTCGTTTTATGTCCTCTTTATAAAATTATAATTAAAAAGCAAACCGTAGAAGCCAGCACTCCCTATAATTACTAACATTGATCACATTTATTTGTTTACCAACCAGTTATTACATCTGTGTTCGTATGGAAAATTAGCTTATTTCGAAAGGCTGGCTTTAGTATAATGCGGCATTCCTTTTATTCTTTGAACGACAAGGAATTTTTGGATGAGACTTAATAAAAATATTGACTTGCTAGTATCGGAACTATTTCTTGCACATTTATTTACCAAAAGTTGTTATACTAAAGTCAGCTTTTCGACATAAGCACTTTTCCATACGAACACAAACATGTAAAAAAAAAAAAATAAAAATCGATTGCATGTACAAAAAAAGTTGCCATATTCCACAAGCTAGTCCGAAATGTTCTGGCCGATTGTTATCGAATGTTAAACGCGACTGGCGATCCGTTGCCAATCTGCGACAGAGAACCATCGATATGTTTTAACAACCGCTGGCCAGCAGCAAGGTCGAGATTGGTTTCGATTGTTAGCTAATATGTTACTTTAACTTAAGCACTGGCAATTCGTCTACAAGGGAAAACATCGAGAACAATCGAGAAAAAAAAAAAAAAAAAAATGCCAAAAATCAACGGTATATTGCATACGAAAACTTTTTTTTTTATAATTTTATAATTTTTGCACAAATTCTGAAGAGTGGATTGATATGGTGTTTGTTATAGATGGACATTTTTATTAGCATACAATTAAAACTAAATATTGTAAAAATAAATACATCAAAACTTGTTAATATATGGCGGTCTTAAAATTATACAATGCAATATATAAGCTATAACCGTTACGGTTCCTGTTTTATCTTAAATCTATCCCACTCTAAAATCTATACCCGCACTTTCGAATTAATTGCATTGCAAAATTTTTAATTTTTTTTTTCAACAACCGATTTATTTAACTTCACACAATTTCTTAAATATGTATTGAACAAAAAAAAAACACAGATTGCAAGCAAATACAGTTTAATTTGTAGTAAACAACTAATTAGATGTAATAAAAGTGGTGTTCCTCGCATGCAGTAGTAGATATGGGCGATGAAAAATTTGTAGAAAAAAATACGTAAACATAAAATACAATGCTATTGCACATAATATTCATATTATATTTATGTATAGAATTTAGCGAGGAGGCATTGCTTTGCAGTCAACTATCCGACAAAGAATTATCATTATCATGGCCAGCATCTGGGTTTCGATAGCACATACAATAGCCACTATTTCTAAATTTCTGGGCCTTGTACTACATGTATTTATGCATGTATACATATGAAATCGAAAAGAAACGAAAATACATACAAAAAGTGCTCGCTAAAATACTTAAGTTATATATATGTCTTAACCCTCTAATGCATCACACTAAAACTGCTGGAAATTGAGAGAGCAGTTTCTGATTTTTCTATTTTATTTTGATTTCTTACTGGCTTCGCGTTATCTACCAAAGGTGAGGGCGCCACTAGGTAAGATAATAGGAGAGTATTAAGAATGCTTAGTTCTTTGACACAATCTGAGCGACAAGAACTTTGATACGATAAGAAGTACATAATGTGAAATAGTGTTGGACGCGACGATGTCTAGGAACCTGTTGCAAAATCAAAGGCACTTACAAGCAAAAATGAAGGACTAAGTTCGATGTGCTTGCGCAATCGGCACAGCTTTGCATAACTAGCAAAAAAAAATAAACCTGTTACAAGGTGAAAACAGCTTCTCGATTGGCTATCGTAAAATTATATTATATAGTGCTTGACAAAAGTCAAAAAATTGCTTTGGTCCTACTAAAATTTATTTGATTTTTGTCCAGTGACAAGCGTGTACATTAGAGGGTTAAAAGAAAAAAGCGGAACAATTTACTTACCATCAATTGTTTATACTGGCAATCGTAATCGTTCAGCGACCGATCACGTCGCATCAGCTCGTTTCGCAAGCAGCTAATTTCCATTTGTAAGCATTCCGCTTTTTGTGCGCTACATCTGGCACGAATTAGGTCTTCTTTCATTTCCTCCAGCTTACACTGTGGGTGGGAAGAGAGAAAAACGTATTGGTTATTTGGTAGGTAGAACTTCGTTTAATTTGGGAATCAGCAGCATTAACACCAATAATAACGTCCGCCTTGAAATCCAACGGAGAATCACTAAGCAATTGAGAAGTAAAGTCCGCTCTCGTCGTACAAAAATCACACCCTATAATCTCATACTCATCATGCCTGTGCCACTAGCATGGACAACGAAAAAATCTGATGAAGCGTCTCTTGACAGTTTTCGAGAAAAATATTCTGCGAAAGATTTGCGGACCTTTACGCGTTGGCGATTGCGAATACCGTTTTCGTTTTCGTTGTATAATACATTTTTGTTTGAAACATTCTCGCAAATTTTTTGACTAAAAAAACAGAAAAGAAAACTCACCTTCAACACATCCTCGTTGTACTTCAGCTTGTCCATTTGATCTTCGTAGTAATCTTGCATCTGCTTCATCTCCTGCTCCATTTCCACAATATGCTTGGATTGATTATCCAAATCGTTCGATAAACTATCAGACATTTTATCGGCTTCATTGGCTATCTTCTGCAGCTCATATACCCTTGCCTCGAGTTCTTTGAACGTTTTGCATTTCTCACGCAAAGCATTGCGCTCCTTTATCGTTGCCTTGAGTGTCTCGGGATCGACATCGGGCGACTTATTTCGATTACTATCCGTGCGTCCCTTCAACTTATCATCTTCGTACTTCCTTAGCATGGATACCTCCTGGCGCAATTTGTTTACCTCATTCTGTAGAAACGGCACATCATTGCTTTTTTCTGGTTCCATTTTGATTGCTTCGTAGGAGGCCCGCAACGACAGCTTCTCCATAAGTCGCTTCAGATGGGCATTTTCGGCTTGTAAAACTTCATAAGCTTTATTCATATCTTCGATTTTATTGTAGATGTGGAGTAGTTCATTCTCTTCGCTTCTGTTTATTTTGCCGCTTGTTGCAAGTTTCTGTATTTTATTGTAGAAATCCTTCGCATGATTGCTATCGAATCTATCATTCATGATCGCCTTGATTTTGTCATTCTCCATATTGGCGACTTTCAAGCGTTCATTCGACACCTCTAATTGCTTTTCGAGTTTCTGCTTGTCCAACAGCAGATCCTGTAGACGGCCCATTTGTTCGTTGGCGCACGCAAGTACACTATCAGCGGTAACGAGACCACCTTGACCCTGTTTGCCAGCTACACCGCCGCCACCACCAGAAGCGCCACCACCAGAAGCGCCAGCACCATGACCAACACCTCCACCTCCGATATAAGCGGCGTTGCGATAACCATATTGTGGAGCATATCCACCTCCACGTCCACTTCCACTTGGACCGGAACTGCCCACATCGCCATCTATACCAGCGCTAGCGCTATAGCGATTGCCATCATCTGCATGTTTTCCACGAGCGCCGCGACCATCACCTCCACGCCCGTAGTTTCTATTTATTCGTCTTTGTCCTCCTGCAGGCCCTGCTTCATCGTTTTCATATTCGTCATCGTCGCCAATACCGAAACCGCCAACCTGGAACGAGTAAAATGTTTCAAATTAGGGAAAATACTTCATGTATGTTATGCTATCACTAAGATTCCTTAACTGGTGTTTTTATTTCTAGTAAGGATTTTATTATTTTTTTATTAAATGTTTGTTTAAAATTACTCCCGAGTTGGGTATTCGTATTGACTTACCGGCGTCTGGCAAGTGACCAAATCTGACAGGAATCTCGATTGGAGCGACTCATCCATGGCCCACGAGCGATCGTCGGTGGTCGATTGATAGGTCTTCAATTTGACGCAAGCTCTGCGGCACTCATAGTCGACCGTTTCGTTCATGAAGGGCACATGAAAGAATTCCTTTTGTGTTGAAAAGGCCATTTTGATTCGAGAGTGAGGTGTCCGTCC